AAGGCTTGTGTTTAAAATCGTAGGTTCTAGTTTAACAGTGTCCCATTACAGTAAACCGTCGATGAGTGTTCGAAGATTCCTCGGCACAGAACACGAAATATTTCATAAACTAATGGCCATATGCGGCTGAAACAAAAATATTATTGGCTTCAGAATGCCAAGCTCTATCACTATGATAAGCATCATTAAAAACACATCGTTACACCGGTGGATCTCTCCTTGTGAGTATTGAGAAGCCTTCGAACACTCATAGAAGATTTACTGTATTTCCCTAAATTTTAGAACATCTGGTCCAGGGATAGCATCCTAATCAAATACCATCTGCCGATAAAACAGCAGAAAATTTCGTGTCCATATGGGGGGGGGGGGTTATTTCGGGAAACTCGTAAAAAATGGGATCGATACTTTGGGAACGGGGGGAATCGAACCGGTATCGAGTAGCTCGCTGGATAGCTCGTAAACTTGAAGCACGACGGTGAAGGAGTATCGGAAAACCGGAACGGAAATATTCGTCGGTGAATTAGGGCGACCTTGTTATAGGCGGCGAAACCGATAAACAGACTATTACTGTTCCTAAATGTGGGCAAATTACGACAGCCCTTAATGTATTGCGGCAGTTGAAATTGAAACGCCCATGCATATACAGCGGGTCTGTAATATATGGAACTGTGCTTCTGTATTACTGCGTACGATGCTGTTCCCCTAAACTTTGAACAAAATAGCATTTTGACCCTGATTCTGGTTGGCACACATCCTAAACGATGATGCAAAGTGACCGTAAATTTTGGAGATTTTTAATAACAGATGAAGAAGCTGTTAGTAAATTACTGTGAAGGCCTTAGGGTTCTGCTGCAGTGGGCAGTGCCCTGTTAGACGAGTGGTACTAGAGAGCCATTGTGTTGGGATTCTGCAATAGCTGTCCAGGGACTTATTAAATCAAGGGAATTAGGAACTTAAAACAGTAAGTTAAGGCACCAGGCTGATCTACTGGACTATTAGTGTAAGACATCTACAGCTTTAGGGTACCGCAGCAGTTGGTTGGGGAACTACTAAATCATTAGCATTAAGGGTTTGGGGCCAAAAGGTTCGGTAGCTATTGTAACAGCAATTGGAGAGGAGCAGAAAAAAACTTTTATGGACTGTTCTTTTTTTCTTTGTTAAAATTAAATTTGCAACCCCTCGTTCTGCTAACGGACTGCATTGCAAAAATAATCGAACGCAATCACTCATAAACCGTGCACCCAAAAAAAAAAAAAAAAAAAAAAAAAAAAAAAAAAAAAAAAAACAGGACCGAAACGTGTTAATGCACTGCTAGAAGCAATTATAAAAATCACTCGTTCAAACGAGATCCCCCATCCGGTGAAACAAACTCTCTCCAGATTTTAATGAAAGCTCGCAATTTGCTGAGCAATATACGCTAACCGAACGAAGCTGTAGGAATCTTCAACGTTGGACCAAATGGACTGCGATGACATTAAATAGACTTGTTTTTTTTTAACAAGACTTTCCATCATTTATTCAAGAACTAAAGTGTCTTTGGGTTTCATCTGAGCTCAGAGAAATTTTAATAAAACCAGTCGGACCATTTTTATTCCAATCTTTGCGCCCATAGACGACAATACAGTTTGATTAACCACTGAACGGTACCCAAGGCTCGTCCTTCACTTCGTCCCAACTGGCAGACTAGCCAATTCCGCCAGAACTCGAAGAAAACTACAAGTCGTTGACAAATGGAAATGAAAAGATGCCCTTTCCAAATCGCTCTTCCTTATGTACACCGGGTAATTAGCGCTGCAGTTCCCAAAAAGGTAATGATGTATCAAATGCTGTAATGATTCTATTCAAACAGATATTTTTCACCGTGTCAATATCGGAGAGAAACAGCACTGGAACGCGGCTGGGTGGTCTGTTTGCTGTGGACGAATAAATAAATTTCCCGATGCAGGTTCAGTCGAGTAGCCGTCATCGCGCGGTGCAAACGACGTGAATTCACAAAACGCGCGAATTCGTGGGCGCGTAAATCTTTGCCAGCTAGGGCGCATTGAAACAGGCCTGTCGAGAGGCAACGACCGTTCCCCCTAACTTCTCGAGCGTGACGCACGGAGCTCTGTTTGTCGTGAAAAGACGCGCAGGGAATCTCGGGAGACACAGATCTCGCCCGTTACCACGCGATTTCCAATTCGGCGGTTTCGTCAGCGTGATACAATTTTGTCGAACTCTCTCCGTCGCTCAATGGATGCCTGTGGTCAAGCTATAAGATTCCGTTAGACGAGCAGTGAAGCATTTTGGAGATTCTACCAGGTAATTCGATTTCCAATTGGAAACGGTCGGTGTCCAACTTCCTCGGCAACCATGCAAGAAATTTTACTGTGCACTTATGACGGACCTGGTCATCCTAAGCACTGAACGCCGTCAGATGTAAATCTACAGGGTGTAACAAAAATGTTGGAGGACCCGGAAATGGGAGACTCGTGAGGTGATTTGGAACAAGTTTTTCCTTAACAAAAACGTCTGTAAAAAAGAAAGTTTATGCGATATTTGAAAAAATCCTACGTACGTACCCGGCAAAGTTCTACTGGAAAATGAAAAATTCTTCTTTTATTTCAAGCGGTTATAGTGGGTTAACCCCTCGATGAATTCGCTGAAGCATCCTGTGTTTTCCACGGCGACTCATGAATACGTCAAGTGCCCAAACAAGGATCTGCCTTGATCCTAGAGAGACCTATTTCCTAATAGGGAGACCTTCAAGGGCCTTGCAGGAGGTGCGTGGCTGCATGCAACGGAGACAGAGCCATTGACTAATGAACGAAGGAGACAACTGCGCAAAGCCTACAATAACCTGGTTCACAGGCGAATCCTTCCTCTCATGGAACGGAGTTTAGGCAGGTTAACCCTTTGCGCTTCAACTACTAGTGTTGACTGGCATAGCAAGTAAAGGTGATCTACTCTATCGGCTACACTGTCAACACATTATCTTCTCCTATTTTACCTAAAAACTCTTGGTGTAGATTACCTACAGGCGCCAAGAATGCATGGAGCGCAAAAGATTAAAAGCAGTAATAGTGCCTGTACTGAACAATCATAAATACTTGATTAGAGAAAATATTACCTGCATAAATAGATCACCTAACACGAAAGACCTACCCACGTCATCGGATATCACCATATCGAAAACCGAGAATTCCGGTCGTAACGTGGCAAGACAGGTGTGCCTAACGCAATTCCCGGTTAGACGACTTGCCTAGTTGCAGCGGAGAGGCGGAAAATGATGTTCCAGGTACTTGGGTGGGGGAGTCGAGGGATCGCGCGATCGAGCGGAAAGCCGGAGTTTGTTCAGGATTCTCGATCAGCAGACGCGTCCTCGTGCACGAACGCGATCTCACTCTCTCACTCGACACCTGTCGATCGTCGAGGATTGAAGAGAATGCCCCGGTAGACACGGCAGGATTTAAAGCATCTTAGCTCCCCCAGAAGCCTTGGCAAACAGGCAACTGGCAGAGAAGGGGAGGCAGAAAAGGAGAGAGCCAGGCTGAACGTGGCTGTGGAAGGGGGTTGGTTCACACCAAGCTTGGTGAGAGGGGGCTGGTAACTCTATTCTGTTTACACGGCAAACGTTGGAAGTGATTCATCGTGGCTCGTCGCGGTAAAATCTGTTCCTGATTCACTGTACCATCCAATGGACTCGTGTCTATTGCCAGAGGACCTCTCGTTACCAGAAAACTTGTTCCCCCAAAGAATCTACTTGAAAGCTTGGTCCTTCTTCTACTCAGTTCCCGGGTAGCAAAACGCTCAGATGTATAAACGTACCACGTCTCTGGGTGTTGCGTGTCGAGGATGTCGAGACGAAGTTATTTTCGACGAATCGATCCGCGCTTTGACGAGCAGGTACCACCGATTGGTTGATGTTCCGCAGTTTGCGCGAATATAAGCAATCGTCAAATGGAATACTGAATCGGCTAACCATCCACCACCATGGTCGGCTGGACCCGGGACAATTACAATGTAAACGCTCTGAGTACTTGGAGCCACTGAATAAATGGATGTCCGGTGAAACCGTAGCTGCGCGGCTAATTTATGCGACAGGAACACAGAAACCGATATTAACGAGAACCTTCGGCCTGTGAAATATAGCCAGAGGGGGGGGGGGTGGTAGCGACGGAGTTCGCGTGGAAAGTTACGGCAACGTGTTGTCGCGCGACGGAGGGGTTGGTCGTTGCATCGATACTGATTCTCGCGTGCGGACATTCTACGCACGAGACCCCCAGGACTCAAGTTTTCACGTGAGACAATCGGGAATTATAAAGGGACGATAAGAAGTTGGACGACTTGTTGACAAGAAGGATTAGTGTACAGTTTATTAGAAGGAATAAATTATAATGATACATCAAATAAAAAGGCGAAACTGTTGTAAGGACGCTAGGAGGGGGAGAGTCACCATATACTCCTCGAGCTATAGTGATTTCAGGTGCGAGCTATGTTACACCATTGAAGGTACAAGCCTTTGCTACTTCTTCAGGGCTGTACTCCTTTGGTCCCATTAACTTTCCTTCACTACACGTCTGGCATATGTTTTGTAATTTTCAAACTTTTAATGTTTTCTCGCATAGGCTGCAAAACTAAGAAGTTAACCAATTTCGCAGGATCAAGTAATAGTCTATCCGTTTTGGTATACGTACACCTCTTGGGCTGCAACAACCACTACCTGGAAAATACGTTGCCGTGTCTGGACGCTTGACCTGCCACCCGACAATTAAAGGCGTGAAGGATTTGAACCCCTGCTGTTTTTACGAAGTCATAATACCTCGGGGGAGACTCTATAGCTAGAAAACTCTGCCCCAGACCTAGAATTCCTCAAGACCCTTATCCAAAAAGTTCTCTGTCCCAAGACCCGAATGCTGCCTACTGGACTTCATCCGGAAGCTTTATGTGGGCAACTGCCTGGCCAGGAAATAACACCGAGATAACACATAGACACAATGGGTACCATGATGTGGACTCACCATAGTGTCTTTGATGTGTTCAACCGGTTGCAGGAGGACCGTGGCACCGATGGGTCGGTGGTGATGTTGTTGCTGCTGCTGCTGATGATGGTGCTGCTGCTGATGATGGTGATGGTGTTGATGGTGGTGCGGATTGCAGTTCCCTAGGTTCGTGCAGGTGCAGCTGCAGGCTAGGTTGCAGGCTTGCTGGCCGCCGAATAGATGTCCAACGAGGCCGGGGGTGATCGCTGCTGCCGCCGCGTTGTTTATACTGTTCAAGAGGGGCGGAGGCAGGGACACCGCACCACCCGGGACGAACGGGTACGAATGAAAATACGTGGTGATGGAGGAACGTGCCTCGTCGGCGCCGATTGTATCCGCGAGCCAAGACTTGCTGTTGATGTTGTTGCTCGGTGGCAGGAAGAATCCGCCGCGGCTGCCTGTAGCGGCCAGCGACTGGAGGCTCCAGAAGAACCTGGCGCGTTCCTGTGCGTTGCTCCAGGCACGCTCCAAGGACGGCGCCTGATAGCGAGCTTCCGTCTTGCTCGATCGGCTCAACAACTCGTACGATGGCCACCACAGTTTGGCTGATTGTCGTTCCCAAATTCTTGGGAAATTCGCCGTGCTCTCCTGGGGCACCCCGAGGAGATCGAACGCTCGGCCGATGGTACCAAATAGCGAGGAACCTCCTAAACTACCCTGGACAATTACGTGCTGGTTCGCGCGATCGAGTTTCGTCTTTCTGATCGAGAACTCTCCGTCTTTCTGATCGATCGACCACAGTAGTCGTCCGGACGTGAGACTAGTGACACGGTAGTGGTCTTTGGTTTGACAACGACACGGAGGACTGACCCTTATCTTATTAGCTACTGAATACGATGTGCATACATACACGCGGTTATCGACGATTACTAGGCTGTCAGTTAAGAACGTTATCGTGTAACGTGCGACAGGGGGGGGGGGGTAGTGGGGTACAGAGACACCGAACGAACGGTGGCTTAAGTGATAGGTGGCCGGGAGACGGTTATCCTAAACGAGCGTTATACACGCCGAGCGGTACAAAGTGATGATTGTCAGTACGTGAGCGAATAGAGGGGAAGCTTGTGCGGGTTTACAAGGGGTGGGTAAGGGGGAAGGAGCTCGCGGGCAGATCGTGCAAAAGGTGAGAAGAGGGAGCAAGATATACAGTGTTGTATAAATGTGTGTCAAGTGCGGGTGGAAGAGC